AAAGGACGCGCTGGAAGAACATGGAAAAGAAGGACGGAAGGCGCGCGGTTGCCAATGAAGGGGAAACCACATGAGAGGGAACAGACCAGACAAAGACCATTCCTCATTGGCGAAACCTCGAGCTTGCCTGGCTTGTTGTGTTGAAGCAGTGTGCGCATGGCAAAACACGAACCCGCAGGTAAGCTTGTGTCACAAGGACTTCCCGTTTATGCTCGCTACGCTACAAGCTGTTGGTAGCCATGCAGCTTGCTCAAGATTCCAAACAGGAACCAAGAGCTTGAGATCCTCCGCGACGACATAGATGCAACAATACATCCACAAGCCCCATGCTAAAAGGTTACCAGACTCCCTTTGATCATAACTGACCCAAGGGTCACACACGCACACACTTATGATTATGCGTACTGACTTGACAGCGGTGCCACACGCCGGCCTAGGTTACCATTTCCTAAGAGTACAAGTAGGAACTACCAGATCCTGGAGGTCTTCAAAAGGAGATGGGGCCCAAGGCTCAAGTCGAGATCGAGACGACAGGATGACGACGGCCGCTCGTGTCTGCAGAGTGCATTAGGTCTTCACAAAATCTTGAAATTCAAGCAGGTACACAGAGCTGATCAGGCTCTGCTTCCCAGATGCAAGGTAGCTTTGTTACGCGCAGTCCCTTCTATCTGCTGCGCCCCCCTGCTAAAGAACTAAAAGAATCTGCACAATCCGACAGGATCCCAGTGATTTCAAAGGGCAAACACACACACTCTGTTTTGATCCAAGCGAAAGGCATACTTCACCACAAACCATCCAGAAAGTCTTCCATGCTGAGTCCAAACATGAGCCAACATGATAAGATTCACTGAAAAAGAATTGCCCCGCACTCTACGAACCTCAGGACGACTTCTTTAATGCAAAGCACCCGGTGCAAGCATGTGCAAGCAGGGCAGAGCACGCATGAAAGCAAAGCCACAAGAACTTTTGGGGGCCCATCTGGCCAAGATGTGGAGTTCACAGGCCCCTCTCCTGCGACAAGGCCAAGTTGAGCAGCAGCCGAACAGTGGCTGGCTTGTAGGAGAAGGGGTCCAAGACCAGCTTTTCGATCATGGCAGCGAAGTTTGGGATGTCCAGCTCGAACGTCCGGGCTTCGTCCAGAAAGAGCCCTTCCACAGCTTCAACCAGGCAAACATGACCCGCAGCTGCGGCCAGCTCCAGCGCCTTGGCCACTAGGGCCTCAGCCAGTCGGAGAAAAATTCATTGGGCGCACTCCATGGCACTTCCACCCTCGACAAGAACTTTCAAATATTGAAACAAACGGCCACACCATACCAAGCGCCATCTATCTCTGAGTGGCAGGAGGGGCCGGACATCCATCGTCACGGGCGCGCTGCAGCTCTAGAAGGCCCTCCTGGACATCTGTCTCCAACTTGGAGGCCACCACTTTCAACCTCAACTCCTTGGGATCTTCCTGCAGGGCCCAAACAAACACCAGTCGCGCTGGTGTAGCTGCATGACATGCAAACCACCCCCCACCCGACTACAGAACCACCCATTCTAGAAAATGGTGGGTAGAATAAAGTTTTTGTTAAAACCATGAAAGTGGTGCTTCCCTCACATTCCACCCATTTGTCCTGAGGTGCCCACGCGGCCAAGGGGGTGGAGTAAGACCATGGTCTTGACTCCTGACGGGCATCCCAGTCATTCCACTGCGGATCGAACTCAGGCTGCCCAGTGCGCCATTGGTACGGATCCCACTCCCTGCCATAGGGGCCCTGCGCTCCGCCGCTCCGACCTCAACTATGCGTCCAACGCTCACTCGTCATGTGCCTGCTCTACTTTAGCAATTTGGACACCCTTTGCGTCAAACTCTATGAAATGCAACCCGGGGACGCTCGTCAACTGCAGGTCCATAAACCCAATGCGAGCTCGGCGCCGGCATCGGCTGGCGAACGCCACCGCTTGGTGCACCGATCAGCGTGCGACGCGGCGGCACGGTGGCCACGCGCGGTGGAGCCAGCGGCGGAGCCAGCGGTGGTGGACCCGGAGGCGGCGGTGGCCTGTCAGGAGCATCGAATCAGAATCGAATCAATGCTGGGGAACTGCTGGTCCTGGCTGTGTCCAAAGTCAGTCCGGCTGTGTCCTGGCCTGCCCGCTGCCTTACTGAAGGCTTGTGGGGGGAGTTTCTCCTGCGTCACCAGAGCGGGCTCGGAAGGCCTGGAAGAAGACACTTTGGGCTGGCCTGGCCTCAAGAGGACGGTTTGCAAAACAAGATGCGCGTTTTGACTATGACCTTAAACTTAAGGCTGGAACCAAGGTTGATCTATCTGTGCACACGATGCGAACCATTAGTGCAAGCTAGCAACTGTGGTTCACCAGCGATGGCTTCTCCATGGTCAGGATGGTCATCGACTCTATTCTCCACCAGCCCATCCACATCTACCAAGTCTGACCTCATCATTCCGGCCAACTCATGAAAAATGCTGGCCCCAGACCTGCAAAAATCCCTCCCACAAGGTATATGCGCCTTCCAACTCTCACGGCTCTCAGGGGGGTGTGCGAACCACAAAACACAAAAAAGATACGAAATAAGATTCAAAAAAATCCACCATCCAGTCAAAGCTCTGACTCTTGATCTTTTCAACCACTGCCTTGGCCAGGCCGCTTTTCCGCGCATCACGTTTCCGGGTGGTCAGCCGAGCGCTGTTGAAATTCGTGATTCTGGGAGTTCGTCACTAAATGAGCCTTTCCGAAACGCCATTCCCATAAAACTGGACAAACATCCATCAGAAAAACGATTGTGTTTTTGCACGTAAAAAGTCTTGCTGGGGAAAGCGTTGGAAGACTTCCCCCCCCCCCCGCACGTTTGGAACAGGGAAAGGGATTATGCGAAAAGTTGCGCATGCGGAAATTTGCGGGACTCGTTTTTGCATCAAAGTGGTCAAAGTTAGAAATATTTTTTGGGGCAGAATAGAGCACGTGAGAGTCAAAACACAAAGTGAAGGTGCCGCAAGAAGTATGCAGTCAGTAGCTGACACCATACTTACGCAAAAGCTAAAACTCAAACATCAAGAGACAAAACCAGGACACACCGCATCCACTTGTTGCCCGATTCAAAGCAAATGGAAACCATGACACACCTGATGGTACACCATGCCATACCTTAGGCCCTAGGCATGATCATGCGCCTAACAAGAAACAGGCCTCAAGTCAACTACACAACGAACACTGGGGGTGCTTATCCGAAAGCATCTTGTTTTGAACCGGCCTGCAAAAAAAAAACGTATATGGGAGGTTTGAGCGCTGCAAAACCCATGTCTGACCCGTGCACTTGAGGGTCCTCCCCAAACTTTGCAAGATCCAAACCTAGCACATATATTCTTTCTCTTTATTCGAAGCAGATTGGGGTGCATGTTTTTCTGTTATTAGGTGCGTCGAAATGCAAAACGCGCGAGTTAATGTTTTCCTGATTGTTTTTCATGGTGCCGGTAGCGGTGGGTCCGCACAAGACGTACTAGTACGATTGTCAGCGCTGGCGCTCAGTAGCATTCATTTTGAGAGACTGCACTGCGGAGGGAACACGTGGCATCAAGCGACCTGCGGACCATCATCAGTCATTTGTCCAAATTCTGACACACAGGCATCTGCAGGCAAGCCATGGGCAAACCCTGTCCTGTGTCTACCATCACTTTGGTTGCAACGTGTCGTAGTGGCAAAATCTTCTGTCATGGGACAGTAATGGTGTTTTTTGAGGGTGCTCGTAACTCGTGTGTGTGTGTGTGTGTGTGTGTCTCACCTGTTGTTTAGCTTAAAGGTTTGGAGAAACATGTTGCCCTGAGCCAAGCAAATTGTGTACTCGGATGTGGCCAAGAATGCATGACAGCCCCTGTAAAACTCAATTCAGAAAACACATTTGCCCAAAAATTGCGGTTTCCACAGCCACGCGACTTTATCGGATGTTGTCCCAGTGCCGAGTTTTGCTGCCTTGACACAAACCATCACGTTTTGACAAGAAACTGTTGATGGACGAATCCTGCACCACCTCACAACTTTACCCTGGCAGCGTCGCATTCCACGTTGGCGCGACGCCTTTGAGGAGATGGTGCAGGATCTTTGCCTTTAAATTTGATTGATTTTTTTTCACTGTTACGTTCTTAATATCAGCGAGGGAGCACGAGGACAGCAAGTAACCTGTCCAGCAACAGTATGGCCTGTTCTTCGTTAGCAAAATTCTCCCTAAATTGTATCTTGAACTTGTCAACGGAAAACGGATGCGACTAGGGCACCCTTGCGACACTAGATTGCTCCCAAAAAATCATTTTCGGCGACTTGTCGGCACAGTTCCAGCTCATCTTTGGTTGCTTGTGGTTTTGGGCTGGGCCTTGCCCCGCAACCTCCTGGAACCAATCGAAGCGGGAATCAATCGAAACGGTTGCCCGCTTTGCGGCGGAAGGTGCCTCTGGACAGTCGGCCAAATACGTAATTCAAGTGCACGTTGTGGGTGGTTTTTTTCCACATGCCTTTTTCTGCTGCTCCAAGCAAGTCGGTCTGGGGTTTTGTCCGGAGTCGCACTCACAGTTGAGGGGGGGACGTTGCCATCGACAATGTTTGTGAGAAAGGTCTTCATCAAGTAGGGTCGCCGTGATGTCTGCCCTGCTTCGACCGATTTTTATAAGATGGCTGGGGCACGCCAGGCCCTGGAGCTGGCGGGGGGCCGGATGAAGTTGGCCTCTTCCTGGCTCCACCGGCCTCCGGCTTCCGTTGCCAAGACGACGAGTCTGCACCGTCGAGGGTCGAACCATTCTCGGTAGGGTTCTTTCTTTGTTCCTTCTGGCGGCGGCCGCCCCCCGGAAGGTGCCTGCATGCTGGCGGGTGGTTCCGCGGTTTTTTCAAAATCTTAGGCGCGGGCAGACATATTCAAAAACAAGAACCTTTATCTGCTTCTTTTTGCTCTTTAAGCGCCCGGGGTCGCGAGCAGGGCGTTACTACAACATGTGGCATGCGCACTGTTTCATGGAGGCACGTCAGGTTATGGAAATGAGTAAGTGGTGTAAGTTGCGCTGGCGGGGCCACCAAAATATCGTGGATGGCTCAATACGGCATCACTACGGGAGGAGCGAGGGAGGGGTCAATAAAATTGATCTGCCAATATTTGGTCCCGAACAAGTTTTTCAAGCAAACCTCCCACCCCTGCCACCCCCATCTCGAGGGGAACCAATAGGGTGCTTCAGCTCATCGGGCCTTGAGTGCCTTAGACTCCGACCTGTCTAGCACGTCGATCGAAGCCATCCGGGGACCCACCTTCTCACACTGCGCGAGTCCTCAGCGCATTTGGCAGCGGGCCACACTACAGCAGATTCACAAAGAAATTTTCATGTGCTGCAGTGCTCGTCAGGAAGTGGGCATCCCACCCACACTACTGTATATTGCCCACGGAATTTTTCCTGGATTGCGGGCAACTGGCAAAAGAAAAACTTGAGAGGAGGGAGACACGAAAGGTAGGACAGCGGGAAGAGAAGAGAACACGAGAGGCAGGAACAAAAATGCAATGTTCGACATGGTGATTTATCCCCTCGGAGGCGACCTTTCGTACATATATGTTCATATGCACTTTAAATGTTCAAACATGTGCTCTCGAAATGTTCAAAAAGATTCTTAGGAAAACAAACTTGCCCCATGGCTCAGATCATCGGTGAGCATTGAATCGGAACATCATAGGATTTGAACTATCCTGAAACCATAAGAGGCTCACGAAGACGCTCCCCAGGAGAGAATTGACGCGCTTCACAGAACACCTTTCGTGATTAGAATTTCATATTCACTCTTTCTGAATGTTCAAGAGGGTTTCAACTATCCTGAAATCATGAGAGGCTCACGAAGACGATCTCCAGGAGAGAATTGATTTTAGAGGGGGGGAGGGGG